GATGTTCCACTCAGATCAGAGTTCAAGTCACCCTTGTTCAAAATGTGGTAAGCGATTTCAGACTCCCAGTCTGTTGAGGCGGCACATGAAGATTCATTCGTCGTCAAGACCATACGTCTGCAAAGTGTGTTCAATGGCATTTAAATTTAATTGGGTTTTACAGAATCATTTAAAACGTCATGAACAAGGATCTTGATTTTTCTTTTTGTACAGCTGAACATTTTTGTAATCTTGATTTATATCTTTAAATGTTACCTGTAATTATGTTGCATAAAAGAAAAAATAAATAAAGTTGAGTTCATTGTGATTGTTTTCTTGTATTATATTTTCTATTGGATAGTAATGATTTTGTTGATTTCGAGAATAGCTTATACATAAGCAGCATACGAGTAAAACTTATTTTCAAGAAACCAGCACTATTTCCCGAAACTTTACCATGATATGGGGTTTTGAACATATGTACACGATATCAGTCAGATAATATCAATTGTTTTTAATGATAATTACTCTAAAGCAGGTACAAGATCATTCAGTGCTCAACTTTACTCTGGAAGTTTAGTGATAATTTTTTATTGACTAGTTGTTTTGTATACTAGTATATATTAAATCTCTGCTATAAGAAGTTTGTCGAATCACAGTTGCAGAGGGATTCGTTATTGATGACAAGTTCTCTGACCTTTTGAGGACGTTGTTTTGATGAGGGATGTTCTAGTCTAAAATTGATCTAGAATTCTTTTAATATATATTGATTATAACTGTTTTGTTATAAAGGTATTATTGCATATATGTATCAATTGAATGTATATTCCAGCTAAAAAGTGATTCTATTTAAATTATGCAGACGAACTGAAATGTGCACGTTTCCGGTTTAAAAAAAATCTTGTACAACACTTATTTATTTTTTGTGTTAGATGTGATGGAATATTGTGTTCAGTACTTTATTGTCATGAATTAAGCTAGTCTTTAAGTTGTAATTCTATGTATTTTTGAAATCATTAAAGTAGATTTGGACTTAAACATGCTTTGTTTTGTTTTAGGAGGATTTTCAAGCGTAATCGAAACGTTGCCATACCGTATGCGTCACACAGTCAGCAAATATACTTGCAAGATCTGTATGAAAACATTTCAAGATGGTCCGACTCTACTGCATCATTTAAAGTTCGACGAGAAGAGAAAATACTGTGAAATGTGCGAACACTGTGATAAAGTCTTCTTTATACAGGCAACGTATAAGTACCACTTACAGGCAAAACACAAAGTGCCGCAGAATCTCCCAGAGTGTGAAGTGTGTGGAAAATGTTTTCAAGACAACTACAATTTAAACCGCCACAAGGTGGTGCATACCGGCGAGAGAAAATTTCAGTGCAGCCGCTGTTTAAAAACATTCAAACTGAAAGACAACGCTAAAAATCATTTGCGCTTCTGCAAAGTTGATGTCTTAGAAGACACAGTGCAACAAGAAATGCAACTGAAACAGTTTACAGATAAATAACAGTATAATTATACTCTAAACTTTTTTAAAAACCCAAGTCGTTTGATTCCTTGACCTTATTTATAATTAATTTTTTGTTGAAGCATAGATTTACCATTTTCAGTTCATTACCTTTAAATCGATCAAATTTAAGAAAAAGTCAGTTATTTGCGACTTATAGCTGTGTATGTAATGGTGTTCTTTAGTTAATAAATGTCACTGAAAAATATACTATCTCCATACCATAATGAGTTATATAATGAGTTGGTATCTTAACTTAGTTGATATCCTGCGTCTGAAAGATCCAGTTGTTGGCCCCTGTTGTTGACCTCTGATAATCAGACTTTGCTGTATTTTCAGCACAACAAGAACCTGGAACAGGTGACTTCTCTGCACATATCAGGAATATCATTGAACGCTCCACGATTACCGAGCCTCCAGTAGAGAGCGGAAGCGATCCTTTCACTTGTCCGCATTGTCGGAAGACTTTTACTTTCTTATGTCATTATAGGAGGCATTTGGTCATTCATTCTGAAGCTCGGCCACACATATGCAGTATTTGCTCAAATGCTTTTAAACGTAGGGACCATTTATTGGATCATATTAGGAGAAAACATGGACAGAAGTTTGCTCAGAACAAGTATTCGTAGAAAGTACTCAGTAGTTTGGAATGAACACAAATTTTAAAACTTAAATACCCTCTGTTGTTGGGTTTTTTTTCCTTCACTTGTACATATTTATTATAAACGTCTGTCCTTGATGAATTAATGTCTAAGATTTTCCCTTTTTTTCTTCATTGTAAAAAAAAAAAAAAGATGCGTGTACGTGTTTTCTGTAGATTTTAGAATCAAATAAAGTGTTATTACAGTTAAATTCTGTTTTGTTATGTTTTATGCAGAAGAGATTATGAAAATAAAAATACACTGTATTTTAGTATTATTGGATAAATTAAAAAGTCAGTCTCTCTTCTGCAGGAGAATCTGCCTCAGCAAATGGGCCCGTGTCTCTGCCTTTTCGCAGGATTTCCTGTAAGACCTGTGGCATCTGGTTCGATGATGAAAAATCATTCTTACACCACATGAAAGAAGTAGAGAAACAGCACGTCTTTGCAATTTGTCACGAATGTGGAAAGTATTTTATTTCATTCGAAGGATTCAAGTTTCACAAGAAAATGGTTCACGGATCGGCAGAAGAGTGCTCGGTGTGCAACGTTTGTGGAAAACGATTCCAGACCCAAACTCATTTACGCCGACATATGGCCATTCATTCAACGGCAAAACCATTTGGTTGTCCGTACTGTGAAAGTGCTTTTAAACGCAAAGATCATCTTCAAAAGCATGTGAATTGTACTCATTTTAAAACGTATGTTATTTCCAAATGACAAAGCGGTGGATTAGGTGATTTAATCAAGAAAAAATACTTTATTACATTGTAAGGTAAATCAAACTCATTAAATCGTTGGAACAAAATTAATGCACTTCTGTTTTTGTGATGAATTTAAAATTACTTGTGTATATTTGTAGAATAAATTACTGATTAAATCTGTTGAGGTTTTTTTTTTTCTCCTCAGGAGTACATGTAAGACGTGTTATTTGATAAACTTTGATTTACCAATGCTTTGAAATCAACCTTTCCAGCAAAGAGGTCATTAAATTCTTTTTACTTTCTCTAGGAGTTTATTGTCGACAACAGCAGTCTTCTACACAACTTAAAAGACAAGCTAGACCAAAAACTTTGTCTCGGAATTTTCAACAAAATGTACAGGATGCATCCGCGCAATTTGCAGCATTTTGTTACATGTGCAACAAAGGCTTTAGATCGTCTTCTGGATTTCTTATCCATAAGAAGATGTATCACACTGCGATATCGGATTATCCAAGATGCACTCTTTGTGGAAAACAGTTTGCTAGTGCAAGCCGCTTGAGGCGACACGAGTTGTCCCATTCAGCTTCAAGAACTTTCACGTGTGATCGATGCCATAAATCTTACAAATATGCCAGTTCTTTGAAAACACATGCTTGCATTGTTTAGAACAAAGCTATTGAATGATACGATATTATTTTTTGATAGGCCAATGTCCCCGTTACATCTTATGAAAAAAAAATCTTCTTAGAGTGTTTAGTATCAAAAAAAAACTTCAATCTCATTCTGAAGTAGCTTATGACAACAATAATGTTATTTTTTTAAAAAAAAAACTGGAGATACTGATTACTGGATAAGCTTTTGTTTTGTTTCTTTTTTTTTTTTTTTTTTTTTTTTTTTTTTTTTTTTTTTTGGTTTGTTTGTTTGTTTGTTTGTTTTTTTTTTAATTTAATTTAATTTTTTTTTAATTAAATGTCTTTTGTATACAATTTTTCTTTGTGGTCAATAAAAAAATCAGTCACTGACAATTGTTTTTTTTTTTTTTATAACATGCACAAATAGAAATAGAGATTGATGGCTGTTTCTTTTACATATATCATGTATGTATTGTCTACTTAGACTTCCATTAGACACAAACAACAAAAGCGCGACAAAGATAAAAAGCCACAATTCTAACAAACGAGACCTTAGAGACTACTATTATTCCTTTTCTTATATTAAGTCATGGAAGTTTTTATCGCATACATACAATATCTGATCAAGAAGCCGATATCCTTAATACTTTTGTATCAAGGCATTAAATCTTACATTTTTCCTGCAGATCAACCAAATCAGACTTCAAGCACTGCAACACAAGAGCTCGACTCTGTCGGAAGGCCAAAAGCATGTGTTATATGTGGATTTCAAGCCTCGGATGGTGACGAATTCTGTGAGCATGTGAAAAGACATGGCTACGTTACGTATTGCGACATGTGTGGACTGATGTTTAAAACTCAGCAAGGATGTTATCTGCATAAGAAGGTTCATTTTCCTACAGTGCAACTGAAGTGCGATTTGTGCGGGAAAGTAGCGCAATCCCGAAGTCATCTTAACCGTCATTTGAAATCTCATTCAGATACACGACACTTCAAATGTCAGTATTGTAAGTCAACCTTCAAGCACAAGGCCGATATGAATCGTCATTTGGTGAATCGTCACAGTGACAAAGAACCATATCATGCAGCAAAGTTACCAGAACTGTCTGACTAAACAGTATTTTTGCATTGTAAATACATACACTGTTAATGTATACCCTTCATTTATTTGTAAATTTGTGTTAGATTTAATTGTCAGACATTCTGATATATTAATACATGTACACAGAAACATGCATTTGTAAGTACGGAATATTAAAAATTTTGTAACTTCTGAGTATTTTGTAAATAAAGATGTTACGCCTTCTGATACATATTTGTTTGTTGTGATGAAGTCATGGTGAAAGATATTTGAGAAGTTGTGCTTCACATGAATACATACATCCATATGTGTGTGTGCTTAAATCTGTGAACACTTGCATGTACTTGCATGGCTGCAGTGCGGTGTCTTTTACAGTAGCTTATAACTGATACATTTTTTGTGGAAGTGGTTTTTGGCAGACTGATGTTATTCCACATATTTCTTTTGCCAGGAACCACTGCTGCGTTTCCAGGCCACCAGGGGAAAAGAGTCCTGATTTGTCCAGAATGCCACGCCTGTTTTGCCAGTGCGGTGTACTTGCTAGAACACAGGAAGATCGCTCATAAATCGCCGATGGTAGCATTTTGTGAGTCCTGTGGAAAAGGGTTCAAATCACCTTCGGGATTCCATATTCACAAGAAAATGTTTCACAGCGCAGATTGCAATTATCCTATGTGTAAAATATGCGGAAAGAAATTTGCCAGTTCTAGTAGACTTCTTGTTCATTTGAGATCACATTCGAACCAGAGAAATTTCGTTTGCAAAAAGTGTGACAAGTCATTCAAATATGAGGGATCCCTAAAAAAGCACGAAGATGTTTGTAAATAACAGTTATCAGTTTTGAACTTGGTGTGCAGACCATTTGATTATTAAAAGAATTTAGAATCTTTTGCCAGTGGCCTTAAGCTTGATGATAAGTTATAATGGACTGCGTTCTATTAGATCTGACAAGTGATGTTCATGACTTTTTAAAAACTGATGTACTTTGTAGTTACAAAATTGAAGTACTGTACTTTAACTTGCGATAAGCAATTAGAATTTGTTTATACATGTTTGCAAGATTATTACTCTTTTATGTATATGAAAAATTAGGGGTTAAGAATCATTTAATACTAATATTCATTAGTCCTGAAACTTCAGATGTTTTATTCGGTTGCTTATTTTAGTTTGAAAGCAAGACGAAAATAAAGGGATTATAAGGAATGTTTATTTCTTGTCCAAATAACATCATTAAAAGAGACTAATCAGAAGATTGTAAAGGACTTCCCAATAAAATTTCTTGCCATGATTTGATTGATTTCAAACGCTTTCAGTAACGAATCAAATGCAAGTGTACAGACATTTCAATATTTTGTTTTCACAGCATAGGCATTTATATTAGTGATGCCAAGGTTGACAAGAACTTGATGTCGCAATAGGGACACATGTCCTCCTACATAAGATGTTTGCATGGCAGTTTCTTTTAAATTACTGATCACCTGTACTGAGTACACGTAGCGAAAGATACCGAAATCAGTGTTTTTCTAATTGTTTTTTCAGAACTTTATAACATTTCTCGCCAAACACCAGCTGCTGACAACCGTCGTGTGATCCCATCGCCTGCCAATACAAAGTCCTTCCCCAGAGAGTTTTTAGAATACATTCGGTCTCACGCCCTTATCCACAATGAAGGTCGAAAGCAAAAGGCTTGCTGGAACTGCAAGCTTGGTGGAGTAAAGTATGACTCGGGAAGCATGATAATAACTAGATATCACTGCCAGAAGTGTAATATTCCTTTGTGCCAAGGTCCAAGGGGTTGTTACACGGCTCATCACTGGAAGCAATGGTTGCAGCTTTGCAGAACGCCACAGAAAAATAAGCCTTGTACACCACTTGAACACTAAGTGCCGTGTTTTTGGCTTAAGGATAGTACAAGGCAAAGAGAAAATGATTGCAAGTTCATTTAGTCAGCGTTTTGCGAATTCTTAACTTTTGACGTCATGGTGAACACTGTAATACCAGTATTTTGTGTAGTGGATTACTAAAAGGCGTTTCATAGGCAACGAGATATTATACACATTTTACACATGCAACTTATCTTTTTGTGACATTTTGTAAGCAAAACTTTAACGAAGAACTGCGTTATTAGTCTACAAAACTTGTCTAACTGACTCGGTGCAAGTGAACATCTGTTCATTCAATTTTAGACAGATTAGTATTGCTTATATTTGATTATATAGTTAATTGTAGACAAGTTACGAAAGGCATCTATAAATGTACATATTTGTGAATTTTAGATGGTTTTGCAATGTACTTTGGTTGTAAATCATTTTTTGTTACATAGGCATTCTTGCATGAAAGGAAATAAACGTTTGAATAAATCCAAAATTGTCATTCTTTAAATGTATAACGTGTATTTCAATTTGGTGACGGCCCTGGTAATTTTTTTTTCATAATCATTGATTTTTTTTTCAATATGACATTTCGTATGTTGGATCAAAGCTTGATCAAAATTCTTTTTTTCTATTCAGGGCCGGCACATCTTACGTACCATGACTTTCCCCCAAATATGCTGGTGGTTTCTCCTCTCCATCGCGGGAATTTGAGACTCGTAAATGATGAGCCAATCGGAACTCCGCCAAATTATCTAGGCAAAGATGAACATCTAGTTGGATTCAGGGAAGAATTCATCAGGCACAAAATAGTTCCACTTACGGATAACAAGAAAAGACTCTGTTTAATATGTAAGGTGACAAAGAGAAGAACGGCGGGTGGATGCAGGGTTTCCACGAGACACAAGTGTGGGCTCTGCGAGGTCTTTCTTTGCAAAGGCGAGAGAGGATGCTATTTACACTATCATCAAATTCTTTATCGTAATGGCGGGAACACAGACAGCCCTGAGAGGATGGTGTCGCGTGCTTTTGGAATTACTACCGAAAATGATTAGACTTGCATGTTGGTTTTTGATATTTGATCCAAAAGGTATTGAAAAAAGAAAAGTACATGGCATATTTTTCAGACTTGAAAAAAGTGGATGAATTCAGAGTGTCTTCTTTCAATAAAATTGGTGTTGATTCGGTTCCTTGTTGTTCATGTTAATTAAATCCAGAGGCTGCAATTTACAGATAATTTCAATTGATTTTTATCCTTCAACATTATACAAGTATGCGGAATATTGATATGGCTTGTTCTTGATTTAATTATAATTATGTGTATAAGTATGGGTCTCGCATTTTCATAGGTTAACTTTTTAATTGTGCTTCCTTAAAATAAGTGTCAGACCTGATTAACTTTGAGATATTTACATGTGTCTAGTTTTCTTTGAGTTATTTTATTTTCAAAAAATCAATTTCCTTTTTAGGTAAGGTGACTTTGGACATGTCTTCGTACATATTTTCCATTCACGATTCACCAGCCCCAGGACACACTTTGGTTTACTTTGACGATAAAAAGGAAAGATACTGCGCCTTTTGTAAAAAACACAAGATTAAGAGCAAATCTGGATGGCATACAAAATCTAGATTTAAGTGCAAAGAATGCGATATTTGTTTATGTGCTGGAAAACAAGGAACCAGAAATTGTTTTATACTCCACAGTCACTATCCTATGCTCTAAGTACTGAATTGTATTGCGAAGAGCGGACAAAATAATTTGTATTTAACCATATTGTTTATATTTTTTTCAAAACGTTTCCTTTATTTTTCTGTATTACGGATGTTACTAACGTTGTAAATATGTTATAAGTATGTATTTTTGTAATAAAGTTTCATGTTTCATTCTACTGTTCTTTATTATAATGAAGACTATGAGTTTAAAGTGATTTAAAAATTTTTTATAATTTCTGTAGATTTATGCTTTGTACTTTTTGATAATTTGAGTAAATTATCGCCCAAAATTTCTAAAGGAAAAAAAAACAGGTGTATTACATGTACTAAAATACTCAGTGCTTGTTTATGTTTGACTCTACATGCTCGTGGATTTTGATTCTTATGAACGTCAGGTGTTCAGAACTAAAGAATCGTATACCACAAATCAAATTAAGTTAAGGATATTCTAAATTTCTGAATTCTTGAACATGTATATCGTACGCAGACTGATGTATGACGTATATAGCATATACCTACAGTTCTTTCTAGTAACGGTGAATATTTTACAAAAATCCTCACTAATATCAATGTGTCTAACCTTTGGACTTAATTGCTCGGACAAAGATGAAGAATTCGTGAAAGAAAAATCAATATAACAGAAAATATTGGTAAATGTCATGTAATTTCAAATGGTATTGTTAACAAAGAGTAATTTTGTTTCCCGTGTAACATACAATTGGTACAATAGGCCTAAAAGGAAATAGTCAAAACGTTCTTATTCAATTTAATCGTGTACCAAAATCTGTTGTAAAGGAATGAAACGTGATCATATTTCAGAAATGTTTGCACTTAATATACACCATTCCTGTTAAAATATATTTTTTGATAATATTTTAGCGCAGTGCAAAATAGTATCACACTGTCATGTGTGTAGAACGTATACAGAATGTGATGTGTTAAGTCAGACATTCTTTAGTCTTGAAAATTTACCAAGCATGGTTTTAACATCTAACGTGATTTGAAAAACAAAAGTATGTGTTTTTACTACTGACAAGGACATACTTCATTTTTTCAGAACACATTCCTGCCTGGTTAAGAGCTTTAAATAATGATCGAAGAGTGCAAATGGAAGACGGCGCTCATATTGCTGTAAGAAACGAAGATAGGAGGCAACATTACTGCCGGTTTTGCCGAACAAATAAGCTAAAGCTGACAAGTGGATATGTTCCAAAATCTCGACACAAGTGCTCTACTTGCAATGTATGCCTCTGTGTGTGCAGGAGAGGAGAACAAAAATGGAGTTGTTTTCAGCTATATCATCAGCAGTTAAAGGCGTTACAAGAGCTCGGAGCCCGAAGTTACACCCAATAGGGAGGATTGAGTTGTTTTCAGTTAGATAACATCAGCAGTTGAAGATGTTACAAGAGCTCGGAGCCCGAAATAACCCTAACCCTAAGTTACACCCAAGAAGAGAACGAGAATGGAGCTGTTTCCAGTTACATCAGCAGCAGCTGAAGAAGTTACAAGAGTTCGGAGGCTTAAAATACACCTCTTCGAGGCAAACTTAATACTTGTGGAATATATCACTGTAAACAATATGAAGAAACTTTATAATAAAATATTGTATATTGATCATTAAATTGGTTTTCTTTTTCCCCCGGAGAGGTTTATATTACATGTATCTGCATATAATTTATTTGTCGTTTTTTAAAAGATGTGAATTATCTTTTGATTTTGAAAGAAATTTTACAAAACCTATGTGGAGTATTATATTGCTATCAATCAGGACTACCTAAACTAAAATGAGGAAACAAACCTTAGAATTTTTTTTTTCAGTTTTGTGTGGTTGATTCGAATATTGAATTAAACATGTAAATTATAGTCAATTTTAAGGACTGGTTCATACGGATATGACTTGGTACTCTGCACTCGGGCACATTTCATTAAGTGGTATACATAGCGCGCTGCATGAAAAGTGCCTGGGTGTAAAGTACATTTCTTGACAAATTGAATACCGGGTATACATGTATCTTGTAAATTTTATAGAGAAAGGGTAATTACGTAATTACCTTCAACCAGTTAATTTAAAATTTACATGATACAATGCCAGATGTAAAATTTGGAATCAATCACACTACGATTACCAATTTACAATGTCCTTCAAATTTTTTTTTTTTCTTGAGGAGCAAATTTGTGGATGGCGGGAAATAATTCCATGCACTGTTTTCATTTTAGATATCCTGGAATCTGTGGATTCGTTTACTCATTACGGCGGACCAGAATCGGATCACGTGCCTGTCAGAAATGAAAGTTATAAGAACAGATATTGTCATTATTGTAAAATTCAGAAAATTAGAACCAAGTCCGGGTGGAATACAAAATCACAATTTAAGTGTGCCAAATGCGATGTGTGTCTTTGTGTTGGAGAACGAGCTAGTCGGAATTGTTTCCAATTATATCATGAAATGTTAAAAAACCTGAGTGAATAGCGTGTTTTTAAAGGGGCACAGACGCAGATTAAATTGTTTTGTAAACATGACACAAGCTCTGTTATTGTGAACGTTTACGTTTCACCGGGTACGTTCAATTTGTTAAACTCTGCACGCATCACTGAGCACGGACTGACAATACCGGTGAGTTGGTTTTGCTTTCTCACATTTCTACTCTGAATTTTCTGGATTATATCTTTAATTTTTTTCATTCATATAATACACATCAAAATTTCTATTCTTCTTAAGTATTAAGGATAAAGATTACTTTGTGAAAGTGCAAGGGTGTGTCAATTAAACGCGTCCCGAAATTCGTAGTTTCAATAATTTCCAGAAAAAATAAGTTTTTTATTATATTTATGCTATACCAACATATAAGTCATGATATTATACAGAAAATTTGAGAAAATATTAACTTCAACTCTGTGTCTATGTCCCTTTAAGGATTCCAGAGTACCTCCTTCCCCATGTTTTCTTCTCAGGTTCAATGGGCTAAATTATTGTTAAAAGGGTTTTTTTCTCACTAGATCTATTGCATCTAGCTGTTTGTTACATGTAAACATATATTGTATTACTATTTTAGTATTTTTAGCTTTCTTTTTCAGAATTAATTAGTTTTGATAGATTTATTTGCTACAAAGCATTCCCCAAAAAGGGCTACGTCCCCTCTAAGAGGAGATAATTTAGAAAAGAAATAAGAACTGAAAAAATCTCAAAACCCACAGGGTGGATCATAGGTGGGGGGAGTAAATTAAATATCCTAATGCAGTATTATCTGCATAAACCATGTTGTACTCAGGATGTAGGGTTGTATATATAGTATTTACGCAGAGTTAATGCATATAGAAAATTGTGTACATTATTTTTGTTTTAAAGATAACTGCTAGTTCAAAATAATATGTACGTGTACAACTATCCCCATGTACATACTGTATCTCATACAAGTACTGATGGTCAGAATGAGCCCACAAAGAGGCATTCAGGATTTTAAAAAGAAATATTTCAAGTAGATGGGCGAACAAATCGAGCGAAATGCCTATGGTGCGACAAACAAAAAGAAGGTGAAAAATTAAATTTCAATCATATGTAAACAAAATTTTCTTTCATATACCATTTAACATTAAAGTATACTTTATGTAAAATCTCCACAATTTGGAAAATCTCACAATGATTGAATTATTTGCCTATGAAATACATACACACACTAAAGAGGGCCAAAAAAGATCATTTTTCATACTATAACAAGATTTTTCGATGTGAGTGGGTCTTCGCTCTTTTTTTTTTTTTTTTTTTTTTTTTTTTTTTTTGAAAGTTTACCGTCAAAGTTCGCGTAAATATATATATATATATATATATATATATATATATATATATATATATATATATATATATATATGGTTAAAAAAAGCACGGAGCAATGACCCACTATACCTTAAAAACACACCTTTATGACACAACATTCACATCTATCCGAGAAATACTTGAAATCTATTTATTTAGTCAAGGGTCATATCACAAACATGATTTAAATACCACTATTCATCAGGAGTTGTCTAGCGTAGTGGTTAGCGTGTTACTCTCAAAGGAAAATGATACTCGGGATTTTTATTGCTAGAGTTCGAACCCCACGAATTCCACATTATTTTTTTTTTTATTGAGAGAATAATTTATGCCGAGAAAATATTTTCCTCAGAAAAATTTTGTCTATCATAATTTCACAAATTTCATTAATGCGCAGCAGTGTTAAGGCGTACTACGAAGAAATCAACGGAATATGAACGTGCATAAATACATACCTTTTTAAACTGAATTTATTTTTGTTAAGCTACTATATTATCACTTGACTTTGATATTAATTAAAATAACATTGTATAAGCCGCTCTGTATTGATTTTGGTTTGGTCACGGTATTTGACAGTCACGTGATAAATGTGTGTAATGTGTACTGTATGTAGGTCATGAACAAATTTCAATATCGCAAGGGCATACCCTAGTTAAAATTATAAATGTAAGTAATAAATTGTTTCTACATATCTTGTAGTTTATGGAAAGTGCTGCTGCTTTAAATAGAATTCGCATTTTATTAGTTTAAATTTCAAGTTATTTAGCTCTAGTCGAAATATGTGTGACCTTTACCAAGTATTTTATATATTTATAAAGTAATGCTCTCGATTTCAGGAAAGCAGCAGTACTTTTCAAGTTAAGGAATGTGTCTGTTATGTATATTTAAAAAATCTTCAAGATCTATCAAGTGTATGCCCTTGCGAAAAGGCGATTTAATGAAGCACCTCTGCGTGAAACATGTAAATCCTGTACAAAAAACACGGTAGAATTAATTCAATACATTCTCTCGGTGGTTTTTAAATAATGACACTAAACAAAGGTTTCAAAATTGTATCAACAGTCTATCTAACGTTTGCAAATAATAGTCTCTTCAATAATAAAATGCATTTTTCACTGTGAAAAAATTATTTGATCCGCCTCTCACTGCATATAAAATGCGTCAAATTTTACCATGATGACGTCATGTCGACAAGTGCAATGCGATCAGTGACTTGTTTATTTCTTGCTGTGTGGGATTTAACTAGCGATGAAAATGAATGCAGTGGTAAGTCTTGATGTAGTTCATTACTCTTATGCAGTTTAAAATCGCAAATGATTTCATTTTCTGTTATTGTGAGGAATTGCTATTTTTGTGTGATGTCACAGTAAGCATTTCCCGTATAAATTAGCCCCCGCCCCCTTTATGCAGCCTTAACAGAGCTGCGTGAGAACTTCACTCTAAATATTAAATTTATATATATATATATATATATATATATATATATATATATATATATATATATATATATATATATAGAGGCATTCTGCACGATTTATATATATAGGCATTCTGCACGACTTATATATATATAGGCATTCTGCACGATTTATTCACCCATCTCCTTTAATGATTTTTTGGCTAAATATAGTTTTGTTTTTTCATAAATATTGACTTACAATAAATATAAGAATATCATATTATTTTGAAATGCATTTTCTTTGAAAGGAACAGTTATAGATATAGCTCGTGATTTGTGGTGGTCACAGTAGGGTTTTGCAAATTAACACACTCAGAGGTCTCTGCATTTGAACTAAGCACTCGTATGGAAAAATGTAGTAAAGAATAAAAGTTGAAATTTTCACGCTGTGTCGTATGCTGAATGCCATAGGCTAATACCAACGTTTTTAAAGGTAGGGGGCAACCTTCAAAATTTTGACAAGGGTTTGGAACATCTTTTTTTCAAATACAGGAATTTGCCAGTGTTTGATCTCACTGCAACAAAAAGTGGAGGAGCAACCAGCATCTAAATGAAAATTAATGTTTACATATTAAAACTACAGCAAAAGACTATACTGAGAAAAAGTGAAACCCCTCTCACCACCACAAGCGTTCTCTACGGACGTGTGTCATTATGAAAATTACGCAATCGATTTTGTTATAATAAAGCTTATAGGTTGACTAAATTTGCTAAAAGATAAAACATTAACACATTAAATAGTTTTTCATTTATAACAAATATGTTCCATCATGCAGTAACATTATCAGTAACATGGATAATAATATCTATATAAATATCACATACAAAAAAGCACTAAAACACATGTCAAACATAACAATATCGACCGTTCAACAGTTGTTAAAAATACAGAATAAAAAATAAATAAATTCCCTGATAGCCTTGCATGGAGAGGCTGGAATCACTTTAGTGTTTTCATTTCATCCATTCGTTGTATATTTTTCTTTTAATTCGGTCTTCGTCGTGTATTTTAACAGTGGAGCATTTGATTAAGAAGGGTGCACCATCTTTCAGAGTTTATTCTCATCGGAATGTGCAATTTGAATTTCGCATCTTTTTTTTACAATCTGAGAAATTGACGTGCGTGTTTTCTCTTCTCTCCCGCTGACCAGGATTTGGATTTTTGTCGGAAAAACTTCAGGTCGTTCGAGTGATCTTTATGCAGCATAGGCTTGTAGCTTTGTGGCTCACATAGAGTCTGAAATGTCAAGTTTCATGATAATGAAATAGAGAGAGAGAAAAGAGAAAAGTATAGCTTTTTGAAAAAATCTCTGTAAGGCGCGGGTTATATTAGGATTAAGAAGCAGTGTTACCTTGTTGGTTGTATAAAACTCTTTGTATCCGTTGTGCAAAAGATAAATTTCTGGGAATTTAAGGAATGGGTAGTTTTCTTTATTTAGCTCTCTGTCTTTGTTTCTGAGTAGTCGGCATCTAGAATATTAAAATTAAACGTGAATTAGCTTGAGTTACTACACGAATTGAAGTGAGATTAAGAAAGAAATCTATTTTTTTTAATTGAAAAGGCAACAAAGACTTACTTCTTAGGGCCTCTCTCAGAAGAAAATTCACAGTGAAAGATAAGAATGTTGCGCTTATGGTTGCTCGTATCGTCTTTGTTGCTGGAGTGAAGTAGATCAAAGATGCCCTCTTCCGTGTAAATATTTTCTGCACCCTAAATCAAGAAGAAATGTGTAAAATTTTATCAATTTTGCCAAAGAATTTATTTTTATAGTTATATTGTTATAATGTTGCTAAAGGTTATGGATTACAGGTATAATCTTAATATAGTATAATTATAATAAATATTTGTCTACAATAATATTCGGCCGTAGTGGTGGGGGTGGGGGGGTGGGGTGGCGGCTGCCCCTCCCCTCCAAGTTCTACGGGCTTGATATTATTTACGAAAGAACATTACGGCGAAATATTCGGGTACTAACCTCAATATGACCTCCTTCGAACTCGTATGGGTAGCGGCAGTCAATAATACGAAAACTTCCGATAGTGTCCGCATATTCGCCTTTCATTAGTTTGCCTAAAGTTTCTGCGGAGATATTGTTCAGGTCAGGGTGTTTCCCTGGAATGGTTGGAAGTCCCAGCGTTGTTTGTCCGTCCCCTGTAATGCCATCTCTCTCTAAAACAGCCTCCATGGCATCGACAATTTTGACCAAGTCGTTTTCTTCACTCTGTCAATAGAGAAATTAATTTATAACCCATTTTAAGAAAAAAAAATCCTTCAAATCTTTAAAAAGCGTCATTGCTATTTTAATGATAATGTTGTTTATTAGGAAGGCTATTTACCTGCAATTCTTGACACTGTTTTTCGGTGGAGTGCCTTGCTCTTTTACTTTTCTGACATGGTAGATTTTCAGGCCTGTCTCTCTTGTTGCTAAACAACGACCGTCTGCTTTCAAAGGTGGCAAAACGCTGCAAACCGGTGCTTCTTCTTCGAATTTCAAAAACTTCAGGACTTTTTATAAGCTATCAATGAGAATACACATTATGTTACTGACAGAATGAAAATAAATCAATAATTAATCAGCAAGTGAAATAGTTTTAATACGTACATATTTAATTGCTCTGAATGAAAATTTCTTATCTTACTTGCACAAGTTTATTTCAGTAAATGATTTGAACGGAAATTGAGAATTCGTGCAATCATATTTTTCTACATTAAATATATTTTTGACTTCATACCTCCTCGTAAATGCGAGGTGTCATCGATATTTTTCGGACAACTTTAGAGTGCGTTGTTCTTTTAGGAGTTATGACAGAAGACAACTCCTCCTCAATGGTGTCAAAGCGGAGAGTCAACATAAGCTGTTTAGTGAGCTGTGAGAAGGGGGGAAAAAAGAATATTGTAGAAAAATGTAGCACGTGAAAAAAGGAAAACACTGCAAGCATTATAATTTTTTTTTAGTTTAAAAAATAATTTATTAAAATGTAAAAATTACATTTTCCACAATACTTACCGGAGAAACAGGACTACACTCAAAAGAAGTATCCCTCAAAGACTGCATCATACTAGAATAGCAAATAAGATTATTATTAACCCATTATAAAACAATTTTAACAAATATCTGTGTTGAGATATGTTTAGTAATTGTAAATATTTTAGGTTTAAACTCCTTTTAAAAAGAAATGAGAGATCAATATGTATTTTTGAAACTCTACTATTTCATTTTTTATAAATAAATTACTACTTTTATTGATAAAAGAAAAATATTATTTTCAATGTAAGTTAAACCTACCTTACGATACCTTCGGAGAAATCCAACGTTGTTACCTGTGAAGAAAATTCTGTTTATGATTGAAAAAAATTGGAAAACCGGTATTTATTAACAAATTTTGACTAACTCATCGTCAGGTATGAACTTCTCTTTCATTATGTCTTGAAAAGTGTTCACGATTCCCGCCACGAGTTTCTCTATCATGTACGCCGCTAGAGCGACCGACAGAGTGATGACCAAGCACTAGTTATTAATTGATAATTAATATGTTTGTATTTAATTGACAGTCGGTGCTATTGATAAAGTCCGGAAAAAGATCACTTACCAAGCTGGATGTCAATCAATACTGATTTAGACGAATTAACGATAAAGATAATAGATTAATTTAAATTAATATGTAATATATATTTATTAAGTGAAAGATATTTTAATCTAAACGTAAAGTTATTACCTATATCAGAAATACTATTTAGTGTTTGTATGTGTGTGTGTGTGTTCTTTTTTTAATTTTTTTTAAAATACTTTATTCGTATATTATAACTTGATATAAGTCGATGTTTCGTTTGAACACATTTTATTGTCTGTAGCGTTTTTGAAACTGGAATTGGGAAAACAGTTCTAAAATCTGTGTATGCACTTTCCCTACATGTTGAATGTAAGGAATATTTTCACAAAAATGCATCTCGGTTTAAAACTGAAATAATTAAATCTTAACAAAAATCAATTAATCCGTCATTTTTATGAGCTACACAATTCTCACACGAATAAATACCATCTGTATAATTCTATTTCTAACTACTGTAGAAATTTTCAGGTATATTTTTTGCTTTTCTTGTTAGAATATACATGTATTTTTATCCCTCTTATCGTTTAATAGGAAGAGTTTCCTAAAAATCTCAAGCTAATTTTTTTTTAAATACCATTCCCGTGATACACTTAAAGTTGCAACATACATAATGTAGCTTCTTCAATATCTATTCATCCAAAAAGTTATACAGTGCAAATATTGTACATGTCCTACTAAAGGACTTAAAATGCAATACTTCAGCCCTTCTGAAGAGGTATCTGAATGACATGTGGTTTTAGATAGCTGCATGATGACAAAGATGCATGACACTAGGCATACATTGAATCTGGAAGATTTTTTAAAGAACGATAAGATCTCAAGATGACAACGGGAGCTTTAAAATTGAGATATTCTTATTACGTTGAATATAACAAAAAATCTTAATATTAAAATACAGGTAGGATTATAACTATAAGACCCCCTCCCCTCTTGTTTTTGCAATCTATTTTTTGATGCACACTCTTTTTTTCAAATGCTGGTATTTGTGGGCGTCAAGATAAATAAATTCAAATCATAATAATTTAGACTATATATACTAGGCTTTAATTAAAATTTCTCTCGGTTCCCTTTCGTGAAAAGGCCCAAAAAATCGTTGAAAATTTCTCTCCGTAATTTTTTTATTCAATTTTAGCTGTGTATCTGAGAATTACGGGTCGTAAAACTTTTGGACTTAGTCCTTCATGTTCATTGTATATACATGTAGGTCACGTCACTAAAAAGAAAAGAAAAATAATTATAATTTAGGTCTTGCAAGTCAATTTTATTTGCCTATAACTAGTTAAATTTTTCAAATAAAATCAATGTAGACAAATTTAGAACATTTTTAAACTCCTTGAAAAGAAATGCATTAATTAGTAATTTTGTAATGTGTACATTTTTCAGAAATTCAATATGTCCGAATCCCTTAATTATCTGTAAATAAGAACTATTTTTTCTAATACAAACACACGCTTTGTTTAACAACAAATGTTATGCTTTCAATTCAAATTTTTAACGTTCTTGACGCCAATTATTATGAATAATTTATTGAACGATTGCAAAGATTTTTTTTTTCGACTTCCAAAAATGAAACAATATCACTAAAAAAGAAATCTTGCTATATAAAAAAAAATCATAGAATCTGAGCATCACATATCTTTAAACCAATCCACGGATTCTTCATCATGGACTGGATTTTCGTAATTTCACTATTACTGTTAAATGTTCTGTGTTGTGAAAGTTTGAGTCTTATAAACGGCGAATGCACTTTTACAGAAAATATACGTCTGACGAATCATCTCCTCGAAAATAAAACAAATATAGGAATTGGAATGTGCATTCGGGATTGTCGCACTTTATCTGGGTGCCAGTCAGTTAATTACAATAAATTTACGTTTTTGTGTGAACTGAACGCTGCACATACAAATGTGGACAGTTTGGATGATACGACTTTTTACAAACAAGATGGTACTTATTTTGTGGACTTGAAGTCAGTTGTAAGTGGTTCCTTTCTTGGTTTGAATCTCATATGTAAATTCTATTGCAACATGAGTTTTCCAAAACATAATATATAACAATAGAAATAACGTTTTCTTCTTTCTCTTTCAACTTCATATGTGATAAAGGTGAATCGTATTTTGAATATTCGTTTGAAGAGGGGGGGGGGATCCCGGAGCACCGATGACGTTAAAGGTATAAATATTTGTAAGTCGGCAAATCGTCGGCGGATCATCGAGCGCTGAGTCGAAGTCTGATTTTCAATGTCGGCCGACATTATGGAAAACCCAGTACCTAAATATCGACCGACCGACGATCGTCTGCCGATGGTCGGACGATGATCGAGGGTTGGTCGAAGGACTTTTCAATGACTGCTTCAATTGAACAAATACCCCCCCCCCCTCCCCCGATACAGAAAAAATTATAACTTGTTATGAAAATACGGTATTACGAAATGACAAATGGATTGCACAAATTAAAAAAGAGTTGACTTGTCTAGGACTAGGTCAAATGCACAGAAAGCCATATAAATGAGAGAGCTTATACATGTAGCACTATAAAACAACGACTTTTGGATGCTTCCAAGCAAAATATAACAGAAAGTGTATCAAATTCTACAAAGGGTTATTTATCTCAACATTTAATAGAATCATATTTAACAAAATCTATTGACAAAAATATAGATGATTATTAACAAAACTTAGGTTATCTAATCATACGTTGAATATTGAAACAGCACAGGCACCTGACGTTACTTATTTTTCACTTAATAAAAAAATATACCCCTACTTGTTGATTATATAGGTAGGGGGTATATTTTTTATTAAATGAAAAATAAGTAACGTCAGGTGCCTTTGTGAAACAAGTAGACATCGCAGCATAACTAAGATTAAGAGATTATGTACATGTCTGTTGTTAGCTGCAATAATGTAGCCCTCTCCGATTTTTTTTATCTGATTTTTTCTGGAGAGGGCTACAATTCCACAGCATCTCTGTAATGGTGCAAATATATTTTTTAAATACGGGCGACTGCAGGCAAAATAAATTGTTTTTACATTCAACTTACTTCTAAAAAGGCGAAATTTTTATTCACTGTCAACAACATAGCCCGTTAAACGCGACAACCAGATAAAATAAATCTGCTTGTTTACCAGTCGCTCTCATCAGAAGCCATGACAGTTCTCGCGTGATGCACTGAGACTTGCGCTTGAAAATTATAAATTACTTTGTAAAGTAGATTTTCGGGGTTACTAAATGATTATGCTGTATGGCATCATTAAATATTTATAAATAAAACTATTCCATGTGACATTTTTTCGTAAACAGCGATATTTATGCCTAAAATAAGGTAATTCATACAGAGATCCGCTCCCTAGAGATCCCTAGTCTCATTGGCTGTCCCAAAATAAAATCGATCAAGGTCAGTAAACATGGCGGATAAATTCAAGTTGTGATGTTGACATACCCGAAAAATAACCGATATATGGATTGTTCTGTGTATGTTTGGATTGATTTATGTTTTGCATAACTACATTTTTGGAGTTCAGGTAAGAAATGTCAATTAAATAGCCATTTACTGATTTTTTAAGCCGAAATTCGTGCGGGAGTGAATCACTCCCGCACTTGCACCATTACGGAGATCCTTAGGAGTTGTAGCCCTCTCCCAAAAAAAAAAAAAAGGGAGAGGGCTATACATTATTGCAGCTAGTCTGTTGTCATCTTCCATCTTCATAATATAAAAGACATAAAAAAAATTTCATTTTGAAATGCCCTTTGTCCAATGACCTAAGAAAGAATTTTTTGAAATTGAAAAAGCACTATTATATTAAGCTTAGTGTCTTTATATGAATTCAATTACTAAGTACTAATAATGTTAAAGATCTTTTAAATCCGGGGAAATTTTTTAATGCTGCCACATTTTTAAAGAAAACACAATTTTGATGTATAAACTATTTTCATTCATGAACTTTCACTCTCTTTGTATGAGTTTTTCTTAAAAACATGTACTTATAACCTTGAAATTGAAACTAGATTTGTGGATGTTTCGGTTTCCTATTTCTGATGCATTTTTTTATTTGTTTCCTAGTGTACTGATCTTTTAGGGATTTATATTGTTCAATTTCCTTTTTTGAAGCAACTATATGTTTTTCATGTTATTTTCCCTGAACTGGTCCGTATATTGAAGAATAATGGTGAACATTATTATATCTTAAAACGATCATTTTGGCGTCCTGTTCAAACGTTAAGATTAAAATCCGTTTATGACATACAATCCTATTCCGAGTTCTTTGCCAAAATCGGGGAAGGTGCATCGATTCGAGGAGGGTGGGGGGTGGGGGGTATGCATTCTTGCTTGCAATATGTATCCTCTCTGATTCATGTTTCAATTGTTTGGATTTCATCTGACAGACCCCTCTTGCGGAGAGCTGTTTCAAGTACGGTTCAGACGCCTCTAGTTTGTGTCCTGCTCAGCAAATTCTGGTTACTCTTCACAATAACGAGGAAAAGTGTGTAACAAGTAAGACAATTATACGGAAGCCGGTAGGTGCCAGGAAGAAAAAATATCAGAAATGATATGGCGGTCGTCATTTATTTATGTGGCGACCGCCAGATAAGTATTTGGCGGCAGCCAGAAACTTATCTGGTGGTCATCAGATAAAATAGTTTTTATTACCTGGCACCTACCGGCTTCCGTACAATTAGGTATGCGTCATTAATATTTAATCAATATGGACTAAATTCTTAGAAAAATGATAATAAAACAAAATTATTTAGCTTTCTTATCTATCAAATAATTTCAATTACCGACAATCATAGTATTCTTTTCAAACACCTTTTTTTTCTTTTTTTTTCCCCCGAATGTTTTCTCTAGAAGACCGTG